CTCTCTCTCTCTCTCCAAATTCAATTCGATCCCAGTTTCAGTGTCTGAGCGAGCTCATAGAAAAGCCCAAAACCCTAGTCCTCAAATTTTCACCCTAAACCCCGAGAAACCACAGCTAGAACAACAACAAAAAGGAGGTCCTCCGTGATCGATCTAGGGCAGAACGAGGCGGCCAAAACCTGGGATCGTAGAGTGATGAGACCGAGTCAAAGGCAGAATAAGGAGACTCGCACACGCAAGCAAGCGCTTTTGTGTTGTTTCACCTAACCGTGTCCATGACCCTATGAAGTAAAACAGAGCCCTAAACCTAAACCCAAAGAACCCTAACCCTAACCCTAGTATTTCCCTGAACGAGAGTGGAAAACAGGGCGTGGGGTTTGTGCCGGTACAGAGCCGGCACTCTGGTTGGAGCTCAGGTCAGAGGTTTGGTGCTGCTGCCGTGCTGTTTTTTGCCTTTTCCTAATTGGGCTTATTTGGACTCTCATGTTTGAATAAATTTTTGGCTTTTTATTAAAAAAGAAGTTCTTTTAGTTTTCTTTTTATTTTTTTTAAAAATCGCCTTTTTTAGATTTTTTTTTTTTTTTTGCCCATGGCTGGCTGGCATCCAGGTCGGCTCGCACTATCCCCTTGTGGGGGCGGGGCGCGTTGTTAAAAGGCAACAACAGAGAGAAGATGAAGTTGAAGAGAGAGTGGGGGATGCATCATTACTTGACATGCCTTTTTTACTCTCTTTGGTTGCTCAGTCACTCCCTTCATTTTCTCTCTCTTCTCCTCACTCCGCTTCCCATTTTCTCTTTCCGAGTCTTCCGGTTTGGCACTTTCAAGATCAATTCAACTGCCTCTCTCTCTCTCTCTTTGGTTTCTCAGTTAGCCCTCATTTTCTCTCTCTTCTCTTCACCCCGGCCTCTTGTTTTCTCTGTCCGAGTCTTCCGCCCCCTCCGGTCCTCTTACCCATTTTCAAGTCCAAATCAATTGGCATTCACCTACTGCCCCTCTCTCTCTCTCTCTTCCTCATTTAGCTGGCCCTTAAGGGCACGGCTGCAGTGGCCTCCTTACCTGATGCTCTCCCTAACAATGGGTTTAAAAACTAATCCCCTATTCGAAACAAAATTGCTTGATTTAGTTTAGTTTGGAATCGGTAGAGGGTGATTTGCATCCGATTAACCTGAAAATAAGCTCAATACTCCCAATTTTTTTAATATTTTTCTTCAATATCATACCATTTCCCGAGTGAGTCGGAATCAAAAAATAACTCTAATTCTCCCAATTTTCTAGTTTTTTTTAAATTTTATTGCCTTAGACCATTTTCCAAATAAGGTAAATCATCTCACGATCACTTCAATTGACCAGAGGATCAAGTAAGAGGACGATTCCTATTCAGTCCACTAGAGGACCGAGCAAGAGAGTGATCCTACTATTTTTTATCTTTTAGGACTGAAGTGCTCTCAATTATGACCGATGGCACCATTCCACATGCCATGAAATATCTTTGCATCTCTCTCACGATGAGCTTCATGAATCCCATAACAATTCGCCATGAATCTCTGCTAGGTCCTTGCTTTTTTTCTTATTACTAACATGGTTCATTTCATTACTTCAATAGGAGGAACAAGCACAAAGAGAAATGGGTAACAATCAAGAATTGTTGGAGAGCACCACTTTAGGCCAAACTATCAGCCTCCATATTGGTTTCTTTAAAACAATCAAACAAGGATCGAGACACTCGAGAAGATCTCTAATTTCTAGAAACAAGGGAGTTAATCTCCAAAGAGGTTTAGCATCCCCTTTACACCTGGAGATCAAGTTTGCATATTCCCCTTCCGCTATAATCCTCACATCCGAGAAGGATGAAGAGTGTAAGCCTTGTATAAGAGCCCTAACTTCTTTCTCATTTGTCGCAACCACCCTGAAGATCCCAAAGAGGATATAATGTTAGAACCTCCGTGATCTCTAACAAGACCACCAATGCCCCCTTTCCCTTGATTACATCAAGAGCTACCATCAAAATTTAATTTGAATGAAATTTTTAGAGTTGCATCCAAATTGCTATTCTACTTAGTCTAGGAATATTACAACTACAAGCTCAAAAATTGAGGATAACCTAATCCTTAGAAATAAATTTCCAATATTTATTCAAGGAAAACCAATCAGCTACTAGAACTAGGATATCACATTTAAGCTCATCTCATCCCATACACTTATCCTTAAAAATTCGTTTATGCCTTTCTCTCCGAGTGTTCCAAACAATACTGACCAACAAAGTTGTCCATAAAATTCCACCAATAAATGCCGCATAGAGAAAGTCATCTACATATGCAAGTCGAGTTTCTGCCTATCACATACCCAGAAATTAGAAACAAAGGGACATTGAAGGAAAAAATGCTCCAAAGATTCATTACTTGCTTTGTATGGAACAAAATATTAGTAAGGATGAATCATCTTCTTCTCAAATTATCAATAGTAGTCAATTTTCCTTGACGAGCAGCACAAAAGAAAAGCCGAACCATAAGGGGCACCGATAAGCTCCAAATCCTTATTAAAAACAAGACCTATATTTCAATTACTATCCTCATAAATCAACTGATTTCACTAAGAATTCACCTGACGGATTAAAGTCCCAAACTATATCATATTAACTAGTAGGTGAGCAATAAAACTCAAGCGAGCACTCCATAAGACGAGTGACTTGGTCAAGAAAAATCTCATATACCCTTCTATATCTTGTGGTCACTTCCCAAATAGTGTTGGATCCTTCCCTTGGCACTGTATTTTCCACAGTGTCTAAAGGTTCACGGACTTTAGAAAGCACTTGGAGATGAGGTCCTTAAGGCAGTATCTCGCTACCCTCTCCATGTCCCACGACCTTTCTTAAATGTCAAAGTAAAATGAGCTTACAATAATCAATACTCTTCCAAATTCATGAAAAAACAGCTTTAGATCTAGGGCTCTTAATAAGCCTAGTTGCGACTTCCTCATCATATTTTTCTTTTAACACTTGTCTCCAAAGAAGGTTTTAATTAGACTGACATCTCGACCGCCACTTTGTTAACAAACTACAGTTCATGAACTTTAGCTTTCTAGTCCTAAGTCATCCTTCTCATTTAGGAGCACATACTTTGTCTTATTTGACGAGATTCTTCTTCTTCGTCTTATCATTAATCCCTCAAATGAAAGCTCTCATTAACCCTTTTAGCAATTTGACAACGTACAAAGGCATCCAAAACATGGACACAAAATATATATGTAGGTTAAATAAAATGGACTCAGCTAAAAGGTAATTCTACCTCTGAACGATAGAAATTTAGATTTCCAAAGGTCCAACTCTTTTTGAAATCTTTCCAACACCAGATCCCAAATAGTCCTTGAAGGGTGAAAGGTCACAAAAGGAGAAGGCATAAATATTTAAATAGTAAGGAATCAACATCCATCAAAATAACCAATCCAACAATTTAGTCTTAGCCAAATTGACTTTAAGGACAATAACAAACTCAACACATTTTAAAAACAACCACAAATTATATACTTTTGTCCCCTGTGCCTTATAAAGGATAATGATATCATCAACATATTGTAAATGAGAAACCACAAGATTACTATTTTCAATCTTACCACTTGAAATAATACCTCTATCTACTATAGTTTATGCTTTTAAAGTATATTAAAAAGGTGAAAAAATATCCCCCTATCTAATTCCTCTAGAATCTTTAAAAAAGCCCGAAGCTTTCCCATTGATAAGAACAAAAAAATGTGCAGACAACCAATAATATACAATCCCTATGTAGATTGGAAACTTAGTTGCCCTAATATCTCATGGAGTACATGTCATTCCACTTTATCATATGCCTTTTCAAAATTGATTTTATACAACACCTCCTCATAATTGCCTTTGAGTTTGGATTGGATATATTCTTGAGGTTTGTATGAAAAATAAGTGAAGTATCTTAATTAAAGCCCTAGAAATTTACCTAATCTCTCATTCTCTGAGTCTCAACAAAGCAAGTGTCAATACAAACTCTAGAAAATTTATGTTTTGTATAAACTCAACTTTCTTACCTATGAGAAAACAGAAGCTTTCTTTCTCTCTCTAACTTTCTTCCTAATTTTTCACAGTTTTCTCTATCTTTCATCCTCACTAAATGTTGAGAAATAGTTGTTTGAAAATGTTTCTCTTAGGGATTCAGTCACTTTAACTGAGCTTCCTCTTTATTGTAGAGAGAAGTTTCTAAGAGACATCCCAAACTAAGATCTACACCAATGATCTTCAGATATGCGATCAGTTCATGACTGGTTTACGGGTGCCGAGGTCGTAGTTTTGGGCCTCCTAAATTTTCATACTAAGGTATGTTATGTTTTAGATGTAGATACCTCTTTTTTGTTTTTTCATTTGTTTATGTTATGTTTCTCTCTACAACGTGTGATTTTTCATTTGTTTAAGTTATGTTTCTCTCTACAACGGGTAAGAACTATAATTATTGCAATAGTTTATTAGATTAGTAGTCTTGATGTTGGTGTTTACATTTCTAAGTGTGTATTATGCCTTCAAAGAGAGAGAGAGAGAGAGAGAGAGAGAGAGAGAGAGAGAGTGCTATTATAGTAACTTTAATATGTCTTACAGAGAGAGAGATATATATGTATTGTATATTATGCCTTCAGAGAGAGAGAGAGATGGCCTCTGCATTTCTGAATGTGTGTTATGACTTCAGACAAAGAGAGAGATCCGATATGTATTATGCTTTCAGAGAGAGAGGTGGACGTCTACATTTCCGATTGTGTATTTTGCCTTCAGAATAGTTTTTTCTCTATGAGTTTTCATGCTTTAAGAATTGATTAAAAGAAATCTTATAATACTTAATTTTTATTGCTTTTTTCTCTATGAGTTTTCATGCTTTCAAAATAGTTTATGACCAAATTTAAGATTTCTTTTAATCAATTCTTAAAGCAGTAAAATAAATTATATTGTCTTTAAGCAAAAAAATACCAATTTAAAATTATTTTATGTTTTCAAACACTAAATTTAAAACTATATTTAAAATCTAAATGACTACATTGATTTTATTATTATTATTTTTTTATTGTTTATTTGATATCTATGTGGAACACACTTAATGCTACTAGTCTATATAAAGTCACAATTAAACGGTCGATGCACATCTTTAAAATAAAAAGGGTACTTGTTACTAGAGATAACGTAGAGCTGGTGACCTCAAAAGTGATGGAGTTTAAGGTAATCATGTAAGCTGAGATAATTGAAGTTTTAATAGAGAACATGAAGTAACTACTTCCCAACATAGAGACAAAGGGAAAAAGAAAATAAACAAGCAAGAAAAATAAAAAAATAAAATTAAAGAGTGAGAGTATATAGCCTCTTTCAAGTTCCGCCGTGGAGTATATCCCCAAAAGATCTTCTCACCATGTTCATAAGGTGCAAAATAAATTCTTCTACACTTCTTTTTCTATTTCTATTTCTAATATATATATTCAACACTTAATTATGGTGGAT